GTTTCAGCGTGATGGTTTGGGGAGCTGTTTGGGTTGGTGGGAAATCGAGCTTAGTGGAGTGCGTTGGCAACATAATTTTTGCGAAATACGTCGAAATATTGGAGGAAGAGCTCTTGCCACTTTATTCCTCAGATTTCGTGGACAAGAACACAACGTTGTTCCAGGAAGATGGAGCACCGTGTCACACTGCCAGAAACACCCAAAAGTGGCAGGAAGAAAATGGTATCCAGAAGTTGCCCTGGCCGAGCCAATCTCCTGACATGAATCCCATCGAAAACCTCTGAGCCATACTTGACCGGCAAGTCAAGAAACAACCAAAAAAAAACAACTTCGAAGAGCGATCTACTCCAAGTTTTGAAGCAAGAGTGGGCAAAAATACCACAATCTAAAATTGACGAGATGATTCTCACGATGCCCCAAAGGATCAACGGACTCCACAAAGGGAAAGGAAGATCTACTAGATATTAATTAAATTATAAATATATCAATTCATGTGAATATGACTGATAATTTTCATTTTTTCTGAAAAGGTGGTATCTATTTACTTGTGACCACGCTGTGTATATTTTAAAAAAAACAGAGGTTTTACTCACAAGGTACATCTATATTATAGTTTGAGATATCACACAAATAGGTTCAAGTGATATTATTCAACTGTAACTTTCAATTCTTCATAGTACTATGCAATACATCCTTTTTTTCTGCCATACATGTATATGATACATTAAAGAAACTGCTCAAAAATGTCCAAGATTCCAACACTAAGATTTTTTTTTTGCTTTCTTTTTAGATTAAGTAAGTCATGTACTTTGACAACTATTAGACTATTTTGCTAAGTATTAGTGTCAACTCAAATCTCTATGGAATTATTATACGGTAAAATAAATAAGCATTTTAACAATACATAGAAGTATCTAAAATTCATATACAATCATGGATTTCATAGTAAAAAATAGTTGCTGACATATCAAACACAAAATAAAGACAAAACATTATTTAAACTATTAAATATAAAACTCACCACAAACATAATAGTTTTATATTCATGCTCAAAAGCAAGCTTGAGATGAACGAATTCCATTAAAATATTTTTATTACAATAAAGAGATTATAAATAAACTTAAAACATAATATAAATGTAATGTTCTAAGTAACCACAGGATGTCACTTCAGCACTCCATATTTACTTAGCTACTACTTTGAAGATCTGGTTTCATTTGGGTTTAGTTATGGATTCAAGCTAAACTGAAATATTTATATTTTGCAATAAAAACATATTTCAATTAAGAAGCTATTTACAAGCATCAATGAACAGCAGTAATATTTGCAAAAATACATATGCTACAGCTTATATGATCACCCTACTGGTCTAAGTTTCAATCATTACTGAAGAGTCACTTTTCAAATTCCTTATTTTGGCATCCAACTATATTTAGCCTAATACATCTGAAATTAAAAGTTAAAGGCTTATATGCATTCAACTTGCTATTGTTCTATAAACATGTATAAATTATTGTCATTTTATTAAGCCTGACTTGCATATTCCATGTGTGAGTATCATAATACTAATTTTTTCACAAGCTGTTATTTAAAGATGTATTGCTTCATTTAATTCTTTACGTCAAACAGCTAACCCAATTACTTTGACACTTCAAAGGTAAGAAAACATCATTTAATAATAAAGTTGAAAACATAGTTTACAATTAAACTTTAATTACCTTACACTTCTTCTCCAAGATACTTGAAGGCAAAAGTGAATATGGAAAATGAGTTTTAATATATCTTGGAGATGGCATATTTTCTACTCTAGTATCTTCAAGGTCAAGCATTTCTAGATAGGGAAATCGTTCGTTAAGTGGGGTTGATTTAGCAGCAGAGAAGTTAAGGTCTGAATTGATAATGTAAACAAGCTCCTGTGCCCAAGTTGTACCTAAAAACATAAAGAATAAGTTATGTTTTATATAT